AACCACTTCACAAACCACCGTGACCGCAGGTGCTCCAGAAACCTCCCAAAACCAACTGACCACCGCAGAAAACGGCAGCAGCCAGAACGAGAACGCGGAGAGCAAAAGCACGCCTGCAGACAAGCCGGGTAAAGAAGTCGCAGAGAGCATGACTGGGGAACAAAAAGAGGCCCCAGAAAAAGTAACAGGCGAGGATGTGGACATGGAGTCCTCTACCTGCACAGGAACGGGGCAGGAAGCAGACCTGAAGGAAACACCTGCTGCAGCGAGCGAACCGCCCTCGAAACGACCCGTGAGCCCCAGCACTGTCAAACACTTCTTGTTTAAGTGTCTGCTGAACGTGATCCAGGAGCAGAGTGATGTAGTGATCGAGATGCACTGGGTGGAGGGTCTGAACAGAGACCTGATGAACCAGCTGTGCACTTACCTAAAGAACACACTTTTAAAGACTGTCGCAAAGTCCTGATCAGCAAGTCGAGATCTTTTCTTCTCAAAAATTAAAAGCTTTATTTTTTAGACATGATTAATGTTAGGCTGTGTGTTGGGAAGTTTATTTTGTATAGCTTCTGAAAGGCAATTCTGTATTAGCTGTTTCTTTTAATTCACTTTTAAGATTTTGTATTCTAGAGGCAAAAGTCTCCTTTCCCCCCGCTGAAAAAACACAAGCTTGTTGTAAAAAAAACAAAACAAAATCAATATCACCTGTTTTAATTAAAATACTTATTAATATACTATACTTCATGTCAACCATACAACAAACAAACAATCATACATAACAAGAATCTCTATCGCAACAAAAGTAAGGAGACACCACCTTGTAGCACTTGTCACCAATTGAGCTTTACAAGTTAATTTTACTGAGCTGGAATCTTCAGGGAAATTACTCCGAACACTCCAACCAATGATTCATTTGGCCTTGCTAATAGCTGATATACTCATGGAATCACCCAACACTGCATATTGTGTGTTATAAATTGCAAAAATATTTGGAATAAATGTACATTTTTATACAGATTTTTTTTTTCCCTTTCTCATAGTGCATTTTTACTGAATTGTCTTTAATTATGTAGTACCTGTAGATATCCACAAGAGGGCAGCGTCAGCTTGTCCTGTGTGTTATGATCCGTTGTACTCGTTGATCTTTAATTGTTCCTTTGTTAGAGATTGTATTTTAGACTCACTGTCGCTCCAGTCTGGCACGACTGTTTTAAATAGACCCACAGACCGTGTAATTCAGGAAGTTCCTGGAGCCCCTCGGTCTTTCCTGGAGAGCCTTTGGTATTATTACTCTGCTGTACCCGGTTGACTTCCTCAACAGCATCGAGTGAATAACAGGAAAACATTCCCAAAATATGCAGGGCCACGTGTACGTATGTGCACATTTTCTGTTGTCATAAGCAGAAACGCGGTTCCTGCTCGTACGACGTGCCCTGCGGTCACGGCCGGACTTTGACTCCGCCGATGCATGAGTCACGTGATATCTGCTGAATAAAGGGCAACAACATTAGAAGCTGGCATTTTTGTTCTTTTGTTTTTTGTCCGCTGATACAACATCTTTAAAGATTTTTAATATGCCTAAAAAACTTCCAGTAACTCTCTCACTGTTATTTATGTTGCTGTCATAAAGATGACGTTTCCTTTTTCTGCAGACCTTGAAGGCTTATAAATCAGTCTGGTGTGACCAGTGTGACTGGAATTATTACCCTAATAAATCAAAAAGACCTGAAGTGACTAGCTAATCATTTCGAACACTAGTTATTTATAAGTCCAGCATTTAAGTTGCTGCCTCCAGCCACTAGTTTAATTTATTGCTTTTTCTTTCTCTCTTTACTATAAAAAAAGCACATTTGGGTGGACAAAATCACCATAGAATTAGAGGGAAGTGTATTGTCTTTAATCCTTATTCTGACATAACAGCAGTCAATGATGAAAGTGAAACTGAGCTGTGGCCTTACATTAATCAAATAAGCCAAAATGTGCTACTTCGCTATGCTTTTATTGTTTAACAACTACAGATATGGCTTCAGTAATAACACTGATTAGTGCAGGGATGACGAGCTCTTTTTATAGCCATATGTGGGTGGGGCGGACCAGTGAAACTGCCCTTCAGTGTCAACTAGTTTAATCCTTGAGATATCCTAATTTAAAAAACCAAGTGAAGTTTCAACAGTATTTCTCAGTTTTTCCCGCATGATAAAGAAACCTTGCAACACGACTCTTTGGGCTTAAATTTTATGTGTAAACAAATGTGTAAAATTCTGGTAACATCACAAAAATGTCCAGTGAACCCACTATAAAAACTAAACAAAACAACATATATTTCTATAGTGAAAAAAGCGGAAGGTTTTCTGCCACTTGATTATTTATCTACTACTTAATGACTTTAGTGTAAGAATCACCATGGGGAATCTGTGAAACATGTAAATACAGTAAAAAAGTCCAAAATGTATGCCCTCCTTCATGACCAGTGGGCCAAACTTGAGTTGTTGGCAGTCTGATTGTGACCCCTGAGCCTTATGTTTGACAGGGGTTAAAGAGTGGAAGTAATCTTCAGATGTAGGAACCAATCATAGTATAGAAACACTGTTACACATGAACAGAAATGTAAAAGTAAAATAAGACATTATACGGACAGACAGGATTATATTTTTTATGTGCACAGAGGTGTTATGATGCAACTGTTGGAACTAGCACTTGCAGTTATTAGATGCAGGGCTCAGTCTACCCCGTGACTGCTTGGTTTTTTGCTTGGTTTTTACTTTTAAAGTGCGCCCGTACGCCTGATGCACGCTCGTAAACTCCCAGCATGTGACCCTGACGTGCCAAACAAAGCTTGCTGACTGTTCTCCGCGCTGATTGGCTGGTGGACACAGCGCCAATAAGATGTAAATTTACCGCAGTCAAGCAAACTGTCGGCCTTTCGTTTACACAGAACAACTACGCGGTGACAACTTGTAGTCATCGATTAGTCAAACATCAAGCCGCGAGAGGGCGGCACGTGAGACACTTTTAACAGAACAAGCCGCCGTTCTAAGCGGCAACATTTTTGATACATTTTCTGCGCGTGGCGGACGTGACTCGTGACGAGAGCTCCACGAGACCGAAATCACCCGAACCCCGCTCCGTGTTTTCCCGTCGCTTCCCTCGTATGCACGCGGTGAGGGAGGGCGTTTGTCTGTGGGCGGTTACAAACGCTGCGTGATTCACAAACCTTATTTGTTCGTACTACTTTGAGCGCCATCTTGTTTGTAACTCTTCTACGTAAGTGGTAGAGTTTCTACTGAGGGGGGTATCGGATTACCCTCTTTTTTTCTCCTTCCTCCCCCCTACCCCACCCTCAGCTTCAGACCGGGAACCTCTCCCTGTGGCAGGCTGTACGCACAGGCGCGTCTGCTTTACAGCCTTTTCTCCGAAAAAAGTATTTTCAAGCGGACAGAAATGAGCATCGAAACGCTTCTGGAAGCGGCCAAGTTTTTGGAATTTCAAGCCCAGCAACAACAGAAAGCACGTGGTAAGTTTGTATTTTATTGGGAAAAAAAGATAAAATAAATAAAAGCTCGCTCGCTTTTCACACTCTGGCAGTCAGGAGTGGGAACCAGTCCACCCATTCAGTGAAAGGTTTAGTCTCCGAGTTAAGAGGAAACCCTGCCTGTGGCTCATTTAGCAGCACAGTGTCTGAACCGATTCCCGTTTGTCACGTATGCATTTAAAGACCGTTTCAGTCTTCCCAGTTTTACTTTCATTCCGGTTTTAGAGCGGCTGCTGTGGATCTGGAGGCTTCGCTTCATGTCAAGATTGAGGTCAGGTCTCAGACAGACAGGCAGACAGAGTCGGGCTTCTGCTGCAGTGTCAGGGGTTACTGCATCGAAACCTGCTGCATAGACACTTAACGTGCTGCTCGGCCGCGTCACCGCGCGCCTTCCTGTATTTCTGAGTATCTGCACGCGCTGCTGCGGAACATTAAAAATAAAAACAAAACACGGTCCGATGAAGGGCGGTGGCGCGCGGAGTGCCAGGCTCGTTTTACATAATGACCTGACATCGTCCGCTGGGGATCAAGTGACTCTGGCATTCAGGTTCCCCCTCCTCCTCCCTCCCACCCCAGCAGTCTGCGCCCCCTCAGTCCTTCCGCGCGCCTTCCGGATATCAAGTGTTGTAGTGACTCTGCGTACCTGTGTGTTTCGGTGTGACTGTCGATTCTTAATACATAAAAAAGCAAAATCACAAACTCCCCTGGCGCTCCAGACTCTCGTGGAGGGCTTTGAGTGTCAGTCGATGACGTGAAACAACAAACCACGCCCCTGTAGTTTAAAAAGCATAGATGGTTACGCCCCTTCCACCACGTGCGTGCCGGGCAACCCCTCCCAAAGATCGTTTATATAGTAGATGGCTCACTCCGGTATTCCATCCGTGTAAACTACATCCGGAGAGAATTAACAAGCGTTACGTTTTTATATTTACAACTTCATTCAGCTCTCGAGTCAACCAACTCTTCATGTGAGATTTCTATTCAAGTTTCTTGTGATGTCATGCTACACATCGCTTAATGACTGAATTATGCGTCAGTGAGAAATCTACTGCATAACTTACTACGTAACCAGAAACTCCTCTAAACGCTACGCCGTAACCTGACGTGCACTTCCCGAGAAATGGTGATGAAAACCTAGTAGAAATTGCTTCAGGTGCAGGAAATCACTTGGAATCACTGACCAGTTCATGACCCTTTGTGACTGGGGCTTTTTTTTTTTAAAAAAATCTTTTCCTGTGGGCCAGTGGTTGACAGATGGTCTCTAGCCTTATGTGTCTGTGGCCTTATTTACTTGACTGTCACCATGATTGTCACACATCCAAATGGCAGACGAGTTAATGTCACATGTCTGCAACTCTTTGTTATATACATGCAGTTACACTCCAATAAATCAATGTATCTTGCATGGATCGCTATAGCTGTCAACATATTGTGTTTGCACTGCATATTAAAAGGAAACAAACCTATCAGAGTTGTTTACGTTTGCATAGCTGTGAGGTGTAGTTATATTTCGGGGAAGGTGCAGGTTGAGCTACCTCAGACAGCCCTAACGCTAACATCAGACTTGCTGAAAAAGTGCATTACACTTCCTGCGCCGTTCAAGCTTGGTTGCCAACAGATCAGCCCTTTGGTTGAACGCTGATTTTTACATATGCTGTAGCTCTTTACATATTCGTGAATGAAAAGTAGCCTTTTGGCTAATTATGGCATATTTACATTGATATGTTCATGAATGGTTAAATTCATCATTACGGAGAGAGTCCACGCAGGCTCAGAGTGAGAGATCCTGTTTTTTTCCTGTCTCAGCTGCTCCTGCCTGGTGCATTCTAAGCAGGCGCCTTCTCCTCCTCCTCCCTCTCTGCTACTGTAGAGCAGGTCACTGTGTGCAGGAAACTAGGCCAGTGTTCCTCTATGTACTGCTGCAGTTATATAATGCATATAGAAAACCTGCTTGTTTTTTGTAAGTGTTTCATGGGTTTTCTTTCAGAAAAGACCCCTCTATGTGTTTATGTCAACAAAACAACATTAAATTGTCAGAACTCATAACTGTGCATGCAACAGCTTATGAAAGCTGTCTACTGCAACTGGAACATCTTGTTCTTTCATATGTTTTTACCGCTGAAGAAAAGACTTTTCAGTGTAACAGGACATGTTCATACACTGGAAAAAAAATACACTGAAATGCTTAAAGTAACACTGTTAAAATTTTTCTAGAGCTTTTTAGAGCTGGATAGAATATCTCCTTCCTCCATCACATTATTTTTTTTTTTACAGTCACAGTCATTGATAAAGTGACATTAGTGTTTTAAAATGTAAAATCATAACACTATGTGCTGCTTTTTCGTAGATCTAAATAGACTACCAGATCTGTGAAAGATCTGTTTTAAAGCAGGGCTATAATGTTCTGAACTTTAAACCCTCAAAATGTGAGCATGTATATTTTAAACTGATTATACATGGATAACAAGTAGTATCTGTCACATTATTATTATTATTTATTTATTTTATTTTAAACAAAAGTTGAAGTTAATTTAAAGACTGACCGATAAAAGGTTGTGATTTTGAGAAATATTAGAGAAACCTGCTCTTAATCCTAACTGATTAAACAAGCTGACCTCATACGCCATGCTCTGGTGCCAGGCGGTTAGATCCATTAATTCCTGCTTTTATCAATGTTGGTGTTTTAGAGATGTGTTCATTCAGCTTCAAATAGTCTTTGATGTTAACAGGTGAGAATATTCCTATTATTTTGTACACCCTATTTGAAGGCGAGCTTACATTATGATGCAGCAAACTACATTATCTAAACCTGGATTATTTTTTTTTGTTGCTTCATACAATCTTATTGTACGTAGCTATTTTACATACAATGTAGCTATTGTTTGTAAATGTATAATAAAAACAGACTGTAAACTTGTAAATCATTGAAATCTTTTGTGTATTTAAAAAGGTACAAAGACAACATTTCACATTTTGAAACTTAAGAAATGTTCCTGGTTTTTCGTTTTTTTTTTTGTCTTTAGTGGGAAGGTTTTAGTGACTTTTTTGGATGTTGTGTATCTGATAA